AGGAAACGACTGAGGGAGGCAGTGCCCGCAGGGGAAGACGGGGTCACAGGGAGCAGCACGGGGCAGGAGTGATGGATGTTGGTGAGCCCGGTGGAGGCAGGGTCCCCTTCTGAGCCGCTCGCTGGAGGATGCGGCCAAGTGGTGACCGTGAGTCAGGGCCAGCAGGCCATCACCTTGAAATCCACCTTCCTGCTGCTGTTTCCCCATCCCTCATTCCCCGCATCTTCCACCAACTTGTTGCGTTTTTCTTAACTCCTCGGGGCCGGCCGTGTCTCCTGGAGGGGCTCAGCAGCCCGGGGCAGCTCCTGAGCGGCGGTGCTGGCTCCGCTCTTTCTGCTACTGCTCGCAGCAAAGGATGCTGCGGGTGTCCCACGCCGCAATGTCAGGCGTGTTGTCCCCCGGCGAGCGGCTGTTGCACGCGGGGGCGACAGGCAGGCAGGCAGGTGAGCAGGGGAGTTTCTGACCTGCGGCGCACGGGGCTTCTCTCTCGTAGGCAACGGGATCACGCTGGAGGGGGCTGTGCCCTCGGAGCAGGACAGCCCGCCAAAGCCAGCCAAGAGGGCCCGCACCTCCTTCACTGCCGAGCAGCTGCAGGTAGCGGGGCTGGGCCGGGGGGGCTGAAGGGGCCGCGGCTCCCCGGCCTCATCCTGACCCCCTCTCTCCTCTCCCTCCCAGGTCATGCAGGCACAGTTTGCTCAGGACAACAACCCCGACGCACAAACGCTTCAGAAGCTGGCGGACATGACGGGGCTGAGTCGGAGAGTCATTCAGGTGAGGGGCAGCCAGGGGCGGGCAGGGCACGGGCACCGTCGGCCGAGCAGCCCCAAGCAGAGCTGAGGAAAGGGGCAGAGGGGGGTGCACCAAAAGGCTGGTGCTAGACAGGGCTCACGTCCCCGCAGCCTCTCGCTCCCACACATCGAACCCGGGACTTGCAGCATCCAGCCCCTTCGTGCTGCCTCACCGGTGTGTTGGCTTCGCCGGGTCCCGTAGTGATGCCAACACCGTCCTTCCTCTGTCTTGCTCATGTGTTTTCTATTTTTGTTTCCCTCTTATGATGCAATGAAAAAACCCCACCACATTACCCCAGCCAGTCCCAATAAACCGCAGGGTGGGAAAGCTGCCGTTAGCATGCTGCCCTGGAGCTCAATGGGCGCGGGCAGCGCGGGCGCTTCCCCAGCAGCCAGCAGCCGTCCCCGCCGGGAGCAGGCAAAGCCAGCTGCTTTGGGAAGCGTTGGGATTGAGAACCTTAAAGAAAAAAAGGGTTTTGCAGCCCCAGGGGAAGCAGCGGCAGGAAAGTCCCCATGCTTGTGCTGTTCGGGAGGGGAGGGAGAGCGGTGCCGTAGGGACTGAGAGAAATGCCCCTGCGGCAACTCCCAGCTCGCCATCCCCATAGACAGCCCAGCTTTGCCCCTCGGTGACATTTATACTCTTCACTTTAATCTTCTGCTGACATACTTTCTGCATGCAATAAAAACATGAGTGATTAAAATAAATTTGGAGCTTTCATCCAGGACTGTTTTGCCAACGACACATTTAAATTTCATGTGTGTGAAAATCTGGCTCAAGCCTCAGTTATTGAGATTCTTCGTTTAGCTAAAGATCAAGCAGTCTGCACACTGGGCTATTTTTTATGTGGATATTTTTTAAAGGCGCTTTGAACAGGAAACAATTTGTCAAATGCTTACGACTGTTTCCTTCTCTGTGGTCCAGCGTGCGCGGCCTCAGAGAGCTGATCTTCGCTCAGCCTTGGAGAAGATTTTTACTCCCAGCTATCTTTCAAAAATTAAAGCATAAGAAAGAAATCATCACATTAGCATACCCGCCCCCCCCTGCATGTTTTAACTCTAGGATGTAATCCCCTAACTGTTCCTTTAATTAGAAGCAGTGAGATATGGTCAGAGGGCTCATACCTGCTGCTCAGATGGAGTAGGGCTGCGTCCCACAGTACACTCTTTTCTCAGCTTTAATGTTCTGCTGATGTGGTTTTTGAATACAATAAAGCACAAGTGATTAAAACAATATTGTTTTCATCATCCCTAGTCACATCATCTCCTAGTCTAAGCTTTTACTGGGTTTTGTCTCGCCTTGCCTCGCCAATGCTCGCGCATTTCCCAGCTGATCTTGGCCGTGCTTTTAGGCCAGGCTAGCTGGGGTTGAAGGTTAAAATCTAAATAAGACCTTGAAGGGTGCTCCCATCGTTTGCCGTGGAAGCCATGCAGGGATGAGGCTTTCTGCCTGCAGGGATGGATGAACCCAGCCAAAGCTCGGGTACAGGGGATGTTTCCACCCGGCCGCTCCCCTGGCCGGTTTGGTGCTGTTACCCAGGGCTTTCACAGCCCTTCGAGCCCAGGGAGCAGCTTGCCATTAACATTATTTTAGTGTGGAAGGGAACAGTGTGATCATTAACGTGAGTTTCTGCATCACCTAGTCAGGGTGTTTCACCCAGTGACTCCTGCAACAAGCTTGAAAGTTTTATTTACCCTAATAAAGAACGGTGTTGGTTTTGACCAAGGCAAATTAATAGTAGAGATGCCGCTTTGGGCACCCTAATGTCTGTACCATCTTGAGACAAAACGCTTGCTCTAGTGAGTGTAAAACAAAACTACGGAAGCTGGTGGAATGCTGGTGAGGTATTTCAGTGTGCAGATTTCTAAATTTAATTCCTTTTTTAAAAATATTTGGAAGAGATACCCATCATAGGGTCTTGGTGAAGGACCACACTTCAATCCAATTGCCTCTCCATTGACACAGGGTTCGCTGCTTTTGTTTCAGGTTTGGTTTCAAAACTGCAGAGCCCGCCATAAAAAACACACCCCCCAGCACACAGTGCCGCCCTCGGGAGCCCCCCCGTCCCGCATCCCTTCTTCGCTCTCCGATGACATTCACTACTCGCCCTTCAGCAGCCCGGAGCGAGCCCGGATGGTGACGCTGCATGGATACATAGAAAGTAAGTGCCGGCTCGCAGGGCTCCGGCAGCGGGGTGCTGGGGGACGGCAGGGCAGTGGGGTGCTCCCTGGGAGCAGGCGGTAGCACCACGGCACAGAGCGCTGTCAAAAATGCCCGTGTACTGCGGGCGCACGGCTGGTGCACATGCTCCTCTTCCTCCTCGTGGTCTGATGAACTTTGTCTTTGGGATTTTCTGAAGCGCCATTCATGGGGAAGCCCCAGATGAGAGAAGGAGGGGAGAGGGGGCTGCTGCAGCCTCTTTCCCTCCATACCTCATCCCCAGGAAAGTCACTGCCCGGGTTTTACCTGACTGGTCCTTGGCTCTCCTTGTGTATTCTTTGTCATGGAGAAGAGGTGTGAATGTGCCCTCTTGAGCTCGGTGGTCAAGTGGTCTCCTTCCTGCTCACAAGATCAGAGTTGCTTTCTCTAACAGTTGCCAAGTGCCGGTGAATCATTTGCGAGTGGCAGGCAGCTTTTGTCATGCCTGGACGGAGGTTTTGGCTCCGTGACTCTTGTGAGGCTTCTCTCCGCCCTTGCCCACGCGGCCGTAGTAAAATGTGGCTCCTGCTGCGCCTCCACCTGATTCACCGGGCTCCTCTTCTTCCACGCGTGTCCCGAGCTGCTCCTTGGTGGAAGCCTGACCGTGCCGGTTGCAGGGCGTGTGTTGTTTGTAGTAACAGAGGCTGAAGCCTCTTCTCATCCACAGGTCAGGTACAGTGTGGACAAGTGCACTGTAGACTTCCCTACACTGCTCCACCAGTGCACCTCAAAGCAGACATGGAAGGACCACTATCTAATAGGGGTGAGAAGGTAATTGTAGTCCCTGTTTCAGGCTTTGGGGCCAAACCTCAACTGTAGCAAAGATTTTTGTGTAACATCATTGCCACTGCCGTCTCTTGTCAGCATCACTGCTTCTCCATGACCTCTGGCAGCTGCTGCCCGCTCATATGTCTTTTCTTAATTTTGGGGGCCTTAGATCGATGTACCAACTGTTGGTCAAAATGGCATTTGTTCTTCACTGAATACCCCTCGTTGTTGTGATGTGCTGGGATGCTGCGCCTGCATTCACTGGAGGCTTTTGACATCCTCCTGCCTGAACTCCCCTCTGTGGTTTCTCCCCTTCCCGTGTGCAATGATGAGCTCTGTTCTCCTGCTCCGTCCCTCAGCTGTCTGCACGCGTTGTCAGTGCGAGCAGCGACTGGCTGTTAGCGATGGAGCGGGGGGGACCTTTAGCATGTGCTGACTTTCCAGTTTTCCATGAGTTAATAAGAAAGATTCATTTCTCGGGGATTCCAGTATTGCTTAAAAAAATAACAACTGGCTGTTACAATATCTGAAGTAGGAATGTTATTTCACAATGTCTGGCCAGGAAACATATTGCATATTGATATTTTTCTGTTCAGCACTTAAAGTAGCTGTCTGCTCTAACACACAGCTTATTTGGGGGCAAGACTTCTGAAACATGCTTAGGCTCATAAGATTTTATTTAGGATCCCAATTTAAGTGGCTTCATTTTGAGGAAACACTGAGCCTTTGGCAACTCTTATTGGTTTAATCTTTGGTCTTTACTGTTAGAAGTTCTCAGCATCTCTTTTCAAATCTCTATTCAGTGCAGCAACGGTAGCTTATTGAGCTCTGCTTCGATAAGCACAAGCAGGGGCACAGTGAAGTTACTTTTTCAGTCTAAATGCTACCATTTTGTCATGATAGCTGCACAGCAAGCTGGAGAGTTTTCAGGAAATATTATACAGTTCTGGTGCTGTCATTCAGAGAAGCTTCACTGCAGCAAGTAGTTCCTGTGCTTTAAATGCAATTACTTGCTCGCAGCTGTTGCAGAACCGGGTTCTCAGGACATGGAGCTGCCCCCCAACCAGCTCCTTTTCCAAACAATCACTTGCATGTTTAATTCCTGAAATCTGAAGCAGCTTCCTTCTCCACATCCAAAATTTTTTAAAAGCAGTGATAGCTGAGATCCTGGGAAAACACATGTAAATGCTAAGTCTCTGTTTCCTTCTGCACGTGGGGCGCACACCCCCGCTCCTCTTGGGGTACCCAGCGCAGCAGCCATGGGAGAACCGAGTTGTGACCAGCTCAGTGGCTGCTTCCCCTGACTGATGTCAAGGACACTGTATTTGCAGAGCAGCAAGGTATAGCAGTTTGAGGGAAGCCTGTGATGATTAGCAAGTGAGGCGGATAGAGTAAGGACCGTTGGCAATGGTCTTCATTTTTCTTGGTAGCTGCTGTATCACAGAGCAAATAAATACTGGTTTCAGTGTGTTGCCCAGTATGATATAGTTTCACAGCTAAAGGCGTGCCCAGAGGTGCACCTCCCTCCCAGGCTGTGTGCTGCCACAGTCCCATTACCTCCGCCTGTGCCTTCCCCCGCCGGCGCCGTTCCGTGGGCAGGGCTGGTGGCTCCTGGGCAGACAGTGGTTCCAGAGAGGGCTTTGTCCACGGGGAAGCGGCTGCCTGGGCACCTGCTGCCGCAGCGGGGCACATGTCTCTTCTGCTGGTCCCTGAAAACACATTTCCACTGCGAGGGCTGTCTGCCTCTGAAAGCAGCTAACGCTCGATTCCCGTTTTTCCCGCTAGGTCATCCTCTTTCAGTACTGACTGCGCGAACTCTTCCTCATCTGCCCATGGCGCTACCAGCACCACTGCCCCTCAGCCGCTGAAACACAGCGTCCAGCCCAAGGCAACTGTTATCAGTCATGCAGGAGAAACTCAGATCCAGCATTCTCAGTTATTTCCATTGACCAGCACCTAACATCCACTATTATTTCTCCAGCGACACTGTGTATGTGTGTGTTGAGTGCAGAGTTACATTTTTCACTTGTTTCTTGTGGACTTGTAGAATGACCGTGAGTCTCTCCAAGGCAATGCCAGACACAGTCAAAATTAGTGACTCTACTGTGCTTGCAAAACTTGCTCCCAAACCCATGGGAATATGAACAAACCAGAACATGCCGAGTCGCAGGGGGGTCGATGATCACCTCTGAACATAAAGGAAGGAGGAATTTACGTGGTTTGGCCTGATTCTCTTTTTGCACCAGTGAAGCGCTGTCGGTTCCCGGACATCCCTCCTTATTTCCACTTGCATGTGTGAAAAATGAAATGGGCTTTTTTTGGCTCAGCAACTCGATATATACACAGACCTTCCTGAGCCAAACTCGCAGGTAGCTGAGACTCCACTAAGTGGAAAACATGATGCCAGCTGGAAATAGGCAGTTTTTCTTCCTCCTCAAAGTGCTTTAGAATCACATGTCCTTTGATCACTCTAAGGTAAGTAAATCTTAGTGTTTTTCCCCCCGTTTTATAGGAGGGGAAACCGAGATGTCCTAAACCGAGAGGAACCGTGGGGGTTGGTGGCAGAGCCAGGTTTAGCACTCTGACTTGTTCTTAGAGCACTGAATATCTCTCTCCTCTCACAGCCATCTGCCAAATCTTCTTTGTTTTTTTTATTTTTTACTCTTGTTCTTTATTAACAAGCTACTTTATTTCCTTGGAGTCATATTGGATCACAAATGGGTGATTTCAGAATGTATCTACACAAAACTCTCAGACACTGTACTCCGGGACTGGGAAATCCTCAATGGAAGCTGACCATAAATGCGCAGAAATGTTCTGCCCTGGTGTGGACCCAAGTTCAGTCAGTGGAAGCAGTGGGGTAGAAACCAGAGACCAGCTAACAAGGCGAAAACAGCAGTAAGGCCAGCAGGAACAGTCGCTAGCTGAGTGGACAGAAACATGATGGCATATTCCTTTATCTGGCAGCGTCGCTCTGAGTCCCTCTGCCCTCCTGTTGTTCTCCCTTGCTGGAGTACGGCTGTTGCTCCGGCCAAGTCCTCGGACAAAGGCACAGCCCAGGAGGACTGCTGCCGGTGGGGCAGGCACCGCAGGGCTCATTGCAACAGCAAAGGAAGCGCTCAGCAGTCTGGCCACAAATCAGGAAAAAAACTCCGAAATGATCCTTCATTGACGGTAATAACAAAAAGTAAACAAGTAACCTTTGCCAGCCCTTCTCAGTTTGCACCGAGCCAAGAGCAGGTCTGTAATGAAACCTCTCTCCATGCAAGCGCACGGGTCTGTCTTGCTGCTAAGTGTCTGTGAGGCCACGTTCCCAAGAATGTGAAAGCCTACTATGAGCCACAGTTAGTGCGTAATATGACCGAACTGTGCCTGAGGAGCAGAAGACAGGAATCCATCCGTTACGTAACTTGTTTTCAATTTGAACTGTAGATACATGTGTTTTTCTCTCTGGGAGATCCTGGATCAATCATCTCCAACATCGGCCAGGTGGGCAGCCATCCCACTGGTTTGGCCAGCCCCTGTTGCACACACAGCAAGCCTTCTCCTGCCCGTGCCCCCAGGCTCCGTGTGGCACCGATGGCCGGACACACGGCTCCAGCTAACCGTGAGGCACGCTCGCCGCTCTGCCCGCACGGGGAATGGCGTAAGGAGATGTGGATGTCTGCTGAGGTGGCCACCAAGATCTCTTGGTTTGAGAAGTAACAGAGTACAAGCATGCGTTGATATTTGTTGGAACAAATATATATGTATATATACACACATACCTCTGTGTGTATTGATATTTGTTGGAACAAATGTATATATACACACATACCTCTGTGTGTGTGTACGTGTGTGCGTATATATATATATTTTAAAAAATACAGAGAAAAAGAGAGAGAGCGATGGTAATACCTTGGACAGTTAGGCCAGTATTCTGTCTAATTGCAGTCTAGCAGCTCTATCCCCAATTTAAAATAACATTTGAAAGGAGAGAGGAAATTAAGTCCGCAAAGTATTATTGTCACCTCCTGATGTGCGAATAACCATTTCCAGTGTGTAGCCAGGCAAGGCACTCCCGTACGCCTGACCTGACTGGAACCACCGCTGCAGAAGCATCCCCTCGGGGAGGGGACGGTCACAAATCGCATCCGTTGCAGTCACTTTTCTCCTTGTCTGTAGCGAGGAGCGCAGGACGGGCGTTCCCTTTGTTGGTCGCTGGAGCGTTTGTAACTGCGAGGTTGAAGTGGATTGCTGCGTCCACACGCAATAGCCTTGAGGCGCTGGTGGTGGTCGGCAGGGTCACCGGCCCGACTTTCTTCTCCACTTATGCTCGCGCATCCTAATGACCGTTTAGTTGTGGAATTAGTGCCAGAAATGAGTGGGTAGCTACTTCATTTAGGACTGAAGGAGAGACTTCAGGCTGTAACTTGACCCGACATCCCACAGTACTTGAGATTTCCACAACTGATTTGTTGAGGGAGAAAATGGTTTGATGCATTTCTCTTCTGTCTCGGCGGTGCAATGAAAGGGAAACTATTAAATATGTATCTGCTAAATATCAACTTAGTTACTGATCAAAAAAAACCCACTTGTGAAATGTACTGTATATCAACGTGTTTGTAACTGATACCACTGACAGGACCGGAGTGCAAAGCAGAGGGCCAAGGGAGCGTAGGTGCTTCTCTCCAGTGGAAGTGGACTCACCACTACCCGTGGGGCGAACTGCCCCGCACAGACTGTGCTCCGGGGCGCTTTTCCCCCATAAGTAGCCAGGAGCAGCTTTGCTAATTCAGAAATCAGGCTCTGTTTATATTAAGCCCAAATTGTTTGCAAAAACTGGAAGCAATTCAGCTTGTGCAGTTTTAGAGCTAATTATGTGTATGGAAAATACTCAACTGTACCAAGAATGTAAGAAATCCTCTAATTTATTCAATACATTGTTTCACAACATATTTCACACTGACTGTTGCCACTGAACCAAACCTTATCTCAGGTCATTTGCATTCATCTCCTGTCTGTAGATTAAAAAAAAATAAAATTAAAATCATTCTCATTTTCTTAGTTTATTCAGTAATTGCCAAATGGGTTCTGGTGCAGCAATGCAGACTCCACGTACTAAACTTTTCCAGTTGCTATTTACAAAACCTTTTGCAGTCAAAATGCAACGAAGATAGCCAGTGAAAGGCTTTTCCCTCAAGTTTAATAAGGTAACTAAATATGGCTAGGGTCTGAAAGTGGAATGGTTTACAGTTTTATTACCAATTATTTTTTTTTCGGCTCATGCTGGTTAACCCCAATGCCCAAGCTAAAGGTGCTTACACAACTTACTAGTTGGGACGGGGGAGTGGGAACCAATCCTGCACTACTATCAGTGATACATCTGTAGGATGCCAACTATAGACACATCAGTTTTATTTCATCCGCCAATCATTTTGTTGTAGCATGTTGCAATTCTGCATGTCTTGGCTACAATGGTTAAAAAAAAAAAAATCTCTGAATGAGTGGACAGTCAAGACTAATATTTATTTTAAAAAAGTAAAACTAAATTGTAAGCACTTTTTTGTAAAACCAATGTCTGTTTTGTTACATACTTTTAATGTTGTGCTTTGTAAATGTCTTATTTGTGTAATAAATAAAGTTAATGCAAGTAGAAGTGCTGGCACTTACATCCAGAAAATGATGTAATTCCATTTTATTTTATTTTTAAATATTTTCTGGCTTACTAATCAAGCAGCAACCCACCCAGTTTTCCTCTTTTATTATTTTGTTAAACTCTGGCTTCAGGAGAGTTCAACAAACGTTCGTAGTAAATGGATATAATTTCCTAGTTAGCAAACCAGTCATTAAAGAATACCTCTGGTGTACATTATTACAATGATCAATCAATATCAAAGTACTGAGCAAAAAGAGAGGAAAGGAATTCACCAGGACAGCTAACTAAAATCTGGGAAAATAATGTTGATTAAGATGGATTTGAATGACTTCAACACTGAATCTGAGGCACTCTTTTTAACAAATTGTTTTCAGGCTTAATAATGTGTATATATACTACACTACACACCTCTCAGGAATATTATTGTGAGTACAGTCTGCTTTTTTCCCATGGCTTTTTCTCAGTATGACTGATTAAATGATTATTTCCATTTTTGTTTGTGCTGACAAAGATGACAAAAAGATTATATTCCTGTAGATGGAAAGGGTGAGACAAATCCACGAGGACAAATTAGATTTATTGTGAATCAGATTACCTGCTTTGGAATATTATTGTCTAGCAAGAACTGTTTTCATGGTTTCGGTTTATGTTCAATTGTTTCATCCCAAGCTTTCCGGCAGGTCCGAATGATCCATTCATGCTCATCATCATCTGAAAGGGAGATAAAGAGAATGCCAAATATCACCATGTCCAATCTGCTCTTTGCATCACTAGGGTCCAGCTCAAACAAGCAATTTTTCCTTTGAGAAATAAATCCATTTTTAGCCATCGGCATCTCTTAGAACACATTTTTTTGTTTCTTTAAAAGATTGTGTGCTGTTGTGTTGGAATTTGTCAAGGCAGGAGATACTGGATCTATGGCAATGACTCTGATTATTCATCTGTTTGATAAGATTAGCTTGGGTGGAACTATGAGATTTACACGTATATATTTTATTTTTTGACTTTTTGGCAGGAGACGTGCAGGAGATGTGTATCTTAATTTCTGATAGTTTCAACATATTTTTAAAATTCTGTGTCTGCATTGCTTGTCGGTTTATGAAAAGTGAAGGTGAAGAAAAATCTATAGTCAAAACCTAGGTTCTTGTCTTCAAGCTTTTCTTTCAGTGCTGTTTTTGAAATGTACGTTACGACAGGTATTGATAAGCTGATATAGTGGCTGATAGACATATTTTAGACCATCTTCTGTGTCCCTTGTTAGTATTCATGTCTGTCATATTTATTCTCAGAGCATAATGACAGTGTGGAAAGAAAAAAAAATCAAAGACAATGTAGAGAAAACCAACTGTCCAGCAAAGTTTGAATAGAAATTTTGCGTATGATTACAAAAAAATAAGTTGGCAAATGTTAAGTTGTGGCTTCTTAATTCCAGGGATTTAAACGGTCTTGTCTCCAAAAACTGTTCTGCAGCCTTTAATTTTGTGTTTGTGTATGGGAAGAGAGATCTGTGTAGTAGACCAGGAAAAACAAACTTCAAAAAGCCTTGAAAAAAATCAAAGTATTACTTAAAACAATACCTGTATTTATTTTTATATAAATGAAATGTATTAGAGCTGCTTCTTGTGTTTACCACTGTCTTAACAAATTCAGATTAGCTGCTTGTGATGTGTGTGTCTAACCTGCCTCCATCTAAATGTTAAGGGGTTTGTAGCAGCCCTTATTACCTGAAAGAACAGTTGATTGCAAGAAGGACGGAGCCAAGGGGGCTGTAGTCCCGGTATTGTGACCATCGCTTGGCATAGCAGAGTCCCATTTATTTACACAGCCGCCCTGCACAGCCGAGTGCCCTGCTTAGGTAGGTCAAAATAGATCGAGAAAGAAGCATGTTGCTTGTAAGGAGTCAAATTTTCATGGAGATCTTTTGACTGTGGAGTTGTACCTTTAAGTTAAAGCGGCATAGTGGCATTTGAAATGCAGAAGGTAGGAAGGTCCTGGGAATGAAGTTGTGCTGATCTAAGAAGTGAAAGTTCACAGAAGGGTATGTGACAAATTAGGTCTGATGCACAAATCTTCAAGCTTGGGGGTTAATCTTATTGATTGCAGTAGGTTTTGAATCAAGTCAGCTTTGTCTTTCCTTTTTTTCTGCCTTTTTTTTTTTCATGCTACCCTCCCCTTTTTCTCATTCCTGGCCGAGTGAGTTGAGTGCAGGCGTTCGCTTGTCCTAAGGTGCTGCTCACATGCAGCTCTGTTGGCATCCTGGTAAAAGCGGGCTTGAGGAAAGCATGTGCCAAGGCATTTGTCCCTTGTCTGAACGGCAGCACTCGTCCGCCACCCTCGACAACTAGAAAGGCCGGTGAATCACAGGAGGTTTTCCCTTGGAGCCTGCTCTCCAGTTTGCTCTTCGCATACAGTCACTGGTTTCCAGACAAAGTGCTGGCTTGTGCCTACTGACCCTCTTCTCGTTTCCCACTCAGGGGTGCTGGCTTGCAGAAGCTCGGTTTTGGTGGTGAGTGCCCACCTCTGAGCAGCGCCCCAGTGACGGTGAATGGGTGGAGAACACACTTGTTCTGCCATTGTTCCAACAGCTCAGCCTGTAGGCTTGCTTTAATGACTGGAAAATGGTTACCATTTGGACAGAATAGCTAAGTTCAGCTCTTTCTGTGTTTCACTGACGTGATCTCTTTTTTATTCCCTATGCCTATGAATCAATAGGTCCATAACAAAATATCCTGTTAATGGCACGTTTCTTATTCAGGTATAACTAGGAGAAAATAAATGCTGAAAAATATGCTAAAGGGAAATTAAAAAGATGAGCACTGAATCTTGCTTAAAGACCACGCAATCGTTACAGAGGCAGAGATTCCACTGAGGGCTGCAGCCGGAATGCAAATGTGGTCCTTAAGCTTTCTTAAAAACAACATCAAAGCCATAATCAATGTGCTGGCTTTTGTTCTATGCACTAGGTGTTCCAGCACGGTAACAACGTGATCACGTGAGCCTCGGCTATAACATATTGTCCAGCCTGGGTAGCTCTGTGATTTTAGCTGGAATCGCCTTAATTAAAAAAATAGTTTATCTGAGCTTGTAATAATTGCACAAAAATGAAACTTTTTCTATTTCTGCCATGGTGAAGGAATAAACAAAACTTACACATGCGATACATCGCCACCATCTAGCTCGTATTTGGGTACAGATATACCTGGCTCACCTGAGTACTAGAAATAATCAGCCTGCCTTCCTAGTGAGAAATCTACAGCGCTCACTTAGCTGAGCATCAAGGGTATAAGCACTAAGAAAGGCAGGTGCTAACTTGGCTTCATATAACAGGTTTCCAACATATCCTTGGTTTGCCTAGATTGTTTCCTTCTGCACTCTGGGTTTTCATGGTCTCCTAGGAAAGCACACAAGACAGGTTGCTCTAAGGATTTTAGCCTCCCCGGACCCGTCCCAAAATGTCTTGGTTCATGCAGTGATCTGATCCCGTGCAAATTAAATACTTGTTCATAAGCACTGCTTAGCTTGCATATAGTTTAATCAGATGTAAAAACTGAATGAACTATATGAATTTCAACTTCGTATATGAAAAGGAAAAATAGATGTAATGACTCAGTATCCCAAAAAATAACCTAAAGCAAATCCCTAGAACTGCCATCCAACCCAGCGCACCGTGCTACTGGTCCTTGGTCTAGGTAGGGGGAAATGAAAGAATTGATCCAGCATAGTGAGAACCACAACCCCAGAGATGAGAATGGCTCCGGGGCTAGCTATGTGAGAAGAGGCAGGGAAATATTAGAATGTAAAGAGTTAAGCTATGGTAAAACATACTTTTGCTACACTAAAGAAGACTGGTTGATAATTACTGTAGTTTTAGGGCTATTTGAATCAGTGCAGCTGCAACCTCTTCAGTAGTAACCCCTGAAACAAGACAAACTGGGTTTATTGTACTGAACAAGTCTTAAAGCTCCTCCCTGATTGTTAGTAATTGGCAGCAATGGACTTAACAGCCTCTTGACTACCCTTTTTACACTCTACCTGACTGTGCAGCTAACAATTTAAATCACAGATGCCGATCCTTCTTTGTGGCAGCTGCTTGTTAACTACATGTTCCTCTTTTTCTGTCACTGGCTGCTTCCATAACCCTGCAACACCAGGGTTAGATTGGAGAATCACATTTCATCAATATTTAAAATGGAATTAAACCTTGAAGTTTGATTAATGCTACCAGATAGTGAGTTGTAATTACTATTTTGCAAATTGCAATTGTTTGAATATGTTAATATGATTGTCTAAGCACATCTTCACCTTCAGAAATAATTTTCCCTTTAAAAAAGATTTGAAAAAAAACCAAACTCTTTAATCAGTGGTAAATTATCACCCTGTGCACAATTAGGTAGTATGGGGTTCTTCATGTTGTGTGCTGAATTCTGTGTCAGCATATTTATCTTTAAAAGTTTATCCATTTTTTTAGATTTTTGTCAGTAGAATAAACATTCATGGAACAGACTTTGCTGAAAGAGGACTAACCATGTTGATATTTGAAGGTAAAGAAAAAAAGCTTTGTCTGAAAATTTTATTGCAATCTGGTGTATCCCTGTTCAGTTAGTAAATGTTAACAAGTTATTTCTTCCAAAGTTAGGGAAATGTAATGATTATTATCATGACATATCATTGAAATCTTGAAACGGAGAGAGATAGCGAGAGATCTTAATGGATGAGCTGTTAGAGTATATGTAAGTACTGACTGATTCTTTTGAATTATTTTCCCGTGTCTCTATCAAAAATGAGATCAGTTTTCTAGCGCCCACAAAATATATTTTGAATATTGCGGGTCAGATCCTCAGCCAGCTCAAACTGGGATAGCTTCTCTTTTATTTTTGTAATTAATTCAAGCTGTTTTCATTAAGCAGGCAGAGGCATACGGAGCCAACCCTGGTAGCCACCTGCACAACTGATCCCCAGAAACAGCATCTGCCCACAGTAGATGATTAACCAGGGGTGCAAGTCCTACTGATCTACTGTTGGACACTGTCTACACAGTCAACAGGTCAGTTTGGATAGAGTCTTTCTAGGCAAGTAAGACCCAACTAAATCTGTTGGTCATACTGTGTTCCTGTAAATAGTCCATTTCAAAATTAGTTCTTCTCAACAAATACTGCTTTGCAAGTTTCTTCCTTGTTTTGGGTGGCTTTAGGGGAAGCTCCGAACACCAGCAAAATCCAAACAGGCGTCGGTCAAAAATGCTGCTAGGTGTACTCTACGGTGAGCTCAAACTGCAGCCCACTTAAATCAGTGGATTTCTGCTCAGCATCTCTGCAAAATGAAACCACTTGCCTAATTTTCAATGTTCAGTCTAAAAGTAGTGGCAGAAGAGACTTCCCCAACTACACACTCCAGATTTATCTCTCAACTGGGATTAGAAACAGCTGAAAAGTCAGGGTGGGCTTGCTTCAGGGTGCTTCCAAGGGACGACTTGAAAATACACTGTAATTTAGGTGCATTTAATCTTCCTATATTAAATGCATATTGCAAAGTTTAGAATTATTTGCTTCTAGCTATCGCGTTTCTGTGTTGCTTATGGAAACCTCAGCCGTGAGAGACTTCTTAGGGCTCTGCATGCTTAGGTGTCTGCCATGATGCAGAGCGGAGACCGTCAGCAAACAGCAGTATTGTCACGTAGGCTTCTGGATTTGCCCTCTTAACTAATGCTTTCC